GGGGATGGTGTTCTACAATACTTCATTCTGCAAATCTAAAACTATACTACAAATCAGGTGAAATAACAATGAAGTCACAAATCACAGTGACTGCACAGTGTTAGTAATATAAAGGCCTCTGTGTGGAATCTGTATCTAGTTACTCCCTGATGGCTGACCAAAAAGGAGACCACACACATGGGACCCTGACAAAAGAAACGGGGGGATCCATACATCATAAACCTACAAAACTGAACACAGCTACACGTTCAGAAGTTTCCCTAAACTTCCCAGCAGTACTCAAGAGCAAGACACCCTACAGGACTTGGCATTTGTCCTGGAAAGCTAGTATGTCTTGTATCTACATGTCCCCAGAAAGCCTCATGAGCTCACAGGTGGGGCTCTTCAGAGCTGTCTGGATCTAGGCAAAGGGTGTGTGGTACTAAATGAGTCCACTGATTGGAATTAGTACAGCTCTGGGTATAGATAACAGAAGCCCCACCCTGGTGGTAGATGGCACCAATCAGTAGGCATAGAGCTTGGATGGAATACAAAGAGAGGGACAGCAGGCTTGCTGCTGCTGCTTGCAGCTTGCTGCCTTCTATCTGCTATGCCATGAGTGGTATCTTCCACAAGGACCTTCTGTGTCACGCTACCCTGCCTTGGAGCCAGCTGATTATGATTATGAACTTTGAACTGAAATAAATTTTTCCTTTTCAACTCGTGGGTATTGAGTATTTTATCTCGAGATGAAAACAGTAACCAAGACAAAAACAGAGCCCGCATCTTTGCTTCCTCTTCTCTCTTTCTCCTGAGGCATAAACACAGGATGAACTCTCCAGGAAGACCACTGTCCTGATTAGCCCAGCACCAAGAAGAGTCCCTGGTGTCCTTTCCACATAGGCTACCTTGGCTGTACTTCCACTTCTGTGGTCTCGGGCACAGCCCACAGTTCTGTATGTGAACAGAGCCAGGGGAGCTGGACAATCAAGAGATGCTGCTCCATGTCTGGTCAGTCTGCTGCTCACTGTGACAGAGACACCAGGGGTCACCTGGAAAGGATCTCCCCAGAAGATACACAAACCATACAAATCTCTGGGAATCCTTCCATGAACTCCAGCGGAGCCCTGAATCTCCCTGCTCATCAGAGAGACTCTGAAAAGAGTTCAAGGCCCACTTGTCTTCCTTGTACTACCTTGGTACACCGCACCCAATGCCAGAAGGTCCTCCATGACACATGAAACACAGACGTAATGCCAGCCTAAGTGCCGGGGGTGGGCGCTTCTCAAGCGCTAATGGAGGACTGGGGAGCCAAGGAACACACCTGCAGCCCTGCTGAAGATCAGTCCTCCTCCATTAGGGAAGGTCGTCCTCTTTAACCAACCAGGTTAAAGACACATCACAGAGACACATAAACATGTATGACTGTATAACCTACCTACATCAGGGTATATGAAATGTAAGGAATTCAGTTATAATTTATGTGAAAACAACTTTAAATGTGAATATGGCCCTTATAAAAGGGATCACAGAACACTTTTATAAATAATATTTTCTCTAACACTTTAAAACCATTTCTCATTTCTCCTGAGAACAGTTCTTGGAGAAAAGCTGCATTTCCTTGTCCTAAATAGGAAATGGGCTAAGTTGATCTGAATGCAATAAATCCACTACATAAAGTAATCCCCACTGGTAACTCCCAACAGTGGCTGTCAGCTCTGAGGAGGCTCTTCCAGGACATGGCTAGAGGCCTGTAGGAAGCTGACCATGCAGGTTCCACTGAGCATAATAAAGGACAGGCATGCCTGAACTGAACTAACCATGGCAGCTCTGTCACCTTCTGTGATTATTAATCATGATATGTTAACTTGAGTAGATTAAAAATGCCTCACAGATTAGTAAAGTTCAATTCTGGGTGTTCCTGTGATAACTGACATGCAGGCTAGCAAACTGAGGGAAGAAGATTCACCCCAGATCAAGATTGCACCGACCACAGGCTTGTTGCCTATACACAGTGAAAGGGAAAAGAAAAAAGAAGTGTTACTATTTTGGAAAAGCTCCAGTCTGTGCCCCTGCCTCCAGACATGATCCCACATGCTATGGATTTTTCTGCCTCTGAGGTCTCTGCTAACTCCGACCTAATAAATCTTCTTGCATAAATATATGTATTCCTATTGATTCTGTTCTTCTACAGAATCCTAACTAATATAGTATGCTGCTTCTCACCTTAGTGTTATTCTAGTCATTTTAAGCTTGAAAATCAAGACATAAAAGGATTCTGATATACAGACATTATACACAAGAATACCTATGGTTATTTTCTTCTCTCAACAGAGTATTTCAAAAGGGGTACATGCTCAGAATCTAGAGCTATCTATCTAGGGTAGAAAACCCAAGTGGCCCGATGCAGAACTTTCACTAGCATGGAATTTACTCATCATTATATTAAAACCAAACAGATAGTAACAGCGATGTTTCTACCAATAAACAAGTGTGCTTTGCAGGCTACTGTCAGCCAGTCCTTACTATACCCCTTGCTGGTTGAGAAGAAAAAATACTCCTTTCGAATACACAGAAAAATGAACTGAACAAGTATGCTGAGAGTGCCTGCAAGAGTCACGCCTCGTGGTCCTCCAACAGCCGACATAACAGACATGGATCTGATCCCTGGTCCGTCCATCACTAAACAGCGTTGCTTTTGATTAAAACTTCCAAAAACTGTACTCGCTCCGTAAAGATGGGAGATGGTTAACTACAGGGAAGTTTTCTGAAACTCAGCAGTGCATATGGAAGAAGGCAGCACTGTGTCTCCCCAGTGACCTCCCCTGCTCATGCACATGGACTAGCTCGGAGGCACAGTAAGAACAGGGACTTTCCTCAGACACTGGAGGCTTTCCCTAGATACTGGACTCCATTAAACCAAACCAAAAAAAAAAACATATTTTGACAGTGCAATGGAAAGCCTTACTCCTGGATTAGGGGGCTCCCCCATGTGAACTGCATTTTTCATAGGCACACCCCAATAGAACTGCAGAGAAGGCTGGCTTTCTGAGAACAATCAGGATGACAAGAGCATTCCTAGAGGAACAAGGTTTTGTAATCAATTAAAAATCTCCTTGAGTTTAAAACTTGTTTTGGGGGCCTAGGATTTAGCTCAGTTGCACAAGTGCCTGCCTGGCAAATGTGAGGTCATTTGTGAGTTTGATCAACAGTACCAACAAAGTCAAAAATAAAGAAAGAAAGTTAAAAAAATAAAAACACTTGTTTTTATTCTAAATGTTTCACAACTAGTTTTAGTTTGACTTTCAAAGTAATTAGGCAACACTAATTTGTGTGAGTCAAATAAGCAGATAATCTATTCCTAAAACAACTATTACTCAATAAACACTTGTTACACAAGTGCAGAAAAACTTGCTACTATTTTTATAATTATAGAATTAAAATGTTGAGAAGGAATAGATTATAAATAAAACCTTTGATTCTAAGAAAAAAATCAGATCAAAGAAAGAAAATGACCGTCCTAAGGTTATGTGTAAGAAAGTTGGTAGCAGTGTGAAGGCTAAAAACCATGCGCTGTTTTCTTTTTTTTTTTTTTTTTTTGTCTTTTTCGTTTTTATTGGTACCAGGGATCGAACTCAGGACTGCCTGCTTGCAAGGCAGGCGCTTATGCCGCTGAGCTAAATCCCCAGACCCCCACATGCACTGTTTTAAAACCCATTTTTGTCATTTGTGAGGTGCTAACATTTATGGCCCATTTACATCAACAAAAATCCTTTATCCCTTACTAAAGTGGAGATAATCCCAGTGTTCAATTTAGTTTTGTATTAATCAACAGCATTATTCAGATCAATAAAGCAATCAGAGGGCAAATTAAGGAGGCCCCAATTATGCAAACATGAAAAGCCACAGAGCAACATGGATGTGATTTTTCTGGTTTTCAGTACAAAGCTAAATTCTGTATGTGCACCTGTACTAGAAAAAGGGACAAATTAAATTTTAAAATAAAAAACAGAATTACTTAAATTTTAGAATAAACATTTAATGAACAAAAACTATATAATAGCCTGTGTAAGTACTTTTCATATTTCACACATTTAAGCTTTATGACAAGTCTGTGAGGTAAAAAATAATCCTGCAATCCCCATTTTTAAAATGAGGAAACTGAAACATAAGAGGGTTAATTTGCTCAACATAGGACTACAGCTTCCATGCTATATATTATTTTATACTGAATTAACTGCTTTAAATAAAATATATCAGTATTAAATAAAAAGATTAAGTATTAGAAATTTTTTAAATATGTAAAACTAAAGCAGTTAAAAAATTTAAAGACACAAACATAAAGATGGACTAGTTCTCAAATCTCTAAGTACAAAATATTTTTGTAAGAAAACTACAAAAATAGAGGATATAAATTAAAAATATAATTTACAGCATTTTGAGAGGATCTTCTATGGATAGTTTCAAAAGATAAAAGAAAACCTATCCATTCTATTAAAATTAGAGCTAAGTCAACTTAAAAGATGCCACTGCCAGGTCTCACAGATAGTTTAGATACACATGGAAAAAGTAAACACGGTGGCTGAGAATCACTCTGCTGCTGTTCTGCATCTAACACACTTAAAGGTCCCAGCAACAGTCACAGAGCATTGTTACAGCCAAATATTAACCAAAGCAATTTGATTTTGAGGACAAAATACATGCAAACTATGAGGTAAGCCAGTATGTTTAAAAGTAAGGCAGGTTCAGAAGCCTGATCATCTGTAAAAGGTCCTCAGGTCTGAGGCTGCTCACACTGGCTATCCCACCATATAAAAGTGAAGAAGAGAAATAAAAACCACAGTAGCAGGTAGATAGGGAAATCCAAGTCTAATACCATTATTATCTACATTTTGCTATCACTATAGACATAATGTCTGATGACAACATCCACTGTCCGTACATCTTGTAAATAGAAATATTAATAAAACATGGAGAAAACTATTATTTAAACTTTTCCACAGAAGTATTTTGTTGCTTACCTGAAATCCATGCTTGCCTCTCCACCATGTACTTAACACCTTCGGGGGCATGTCAATAACAGAAACAATGTCTCCCACCTAGGAGAACCAAAGTTTTAAGCAAAACTGTTTTAGTTAAACTATAAACCAACTGTTATATTCACAATTTAAATCTGAACTGTACAAGAAAGTTAAAATACTACTTCATGTTCTAGATAATAACTTCTATCATACTACCTCTTCTTAAAATAATTTAGTAATTTTACCTTTAGTTTAAGTTCTACAAAAAGTTATGTAGCACCAAACTGGGATCCAACTAACATGCAGCAACACCACAGACAGGTCTCAGCATAGGACTTTTTAATACTTGATGCCATACCATCATCACCCTCTTTTTTTTAATCATCACCACTTCTGTTAAAATACAGTCTTCATCTTATGACGGCTTGATATAAATATGGTGCAAATGAGAAATGTATTCAGTAAAACTGTTCTTCAAACTTGGTATTTGATTCTTGCCCCAGGCTAGTGATGTCATGTGACAGTTCTGTGATGCTGGGCAGCAGCACTGGTCCACAGCCTCTAGTCCTTTGTGCACCCACGAGGGCAAACAACTGATGCTCTGAAGTACATTGTTCTGGGAAGCTGGGGCATTTGGTAGGTGTCATGGTTTATGTTGGTGGCCCCCTGGCCTCATGCATTTGCATTGTGCATTTGTGATTGGTTCATCGTCCAGTGCTTGGATTAGGGGTGTGACTGCTACATTGGCCTAGTGGTGGAGTCAGGATGTAATGTAAAGGCAGGAAGAAGGTATGTCTCGCTCTTTTGCTAGTTTCTGCCTTGGTGTTTGCAGCCACCATGAACTGTGGCTCTGCCATGCCACCCTACCTTGGAGTCAACTGAGTATTGACTGAAACCTCCAGAAATTGTAAGAAATAAACCTTTCCTTTCCCAACTTTGATCATAGGTATTTTGTCTCAGCAATGACTTAAAAAGTAACTAAGACAGTAGGTTAGGCAGTAGCTTTACTTATTGCAAGCTGAGGAGATTCAATACTGTGAGCACTGCAGGTGATCAGATTCACTTATTTGGGACAGTTTTAAACAGCATACTGAGCATTTAACTTACCCTATTTAATCACAGAGAAAAAGTCTGAAGATGGGTTATTCTTAATGTAAAATGTTATGTCACTTCTTTCAACAGAAGGCACAGTACAACACTTCTAAAAAGCTAACTTTCTTCACGGTCAAAGGTGAAACAGTGATTTTACACAAATTTAAACAAAATTATACACATACTAGTTGTTATTAAATAATAAGCTTAGTTTTTTTTCAATCATGCTAATATTTGTGATAAAACAGACGTTAAACACTTGAGAGCACTATTAGAAATATGCAGTACATTTTTAGTACTCTATAATCACACTTGGTTTCTCAAGTCATGAATCAACCATTTTCACAAAGTCATAATTACTAACAGACAAACATCTTTAGAGACCTGTCTTTCTTTCTGCACAGAATCTAAAAGTTTAGTTTAAAAACAGTTCAGCTCCTGTAAAGCCCACATTGTTCTTTCTTTCCTTCTGTGTGTGCATGTGTGTTTCACTGGGGACTGAAGCTAGTGCCTTTATTCTGAGCCACATTCCAGTGCTATTCAAAATTTATCTTGAGACAGGTCTCACTACGTCAGTAGGTTGCCCAGCCTGGCCTCAAGTCTGTGATCTTCCTGACACAGTCTTCCAGAATGCCAAGATTACAGGCGTACACCACCATCCGAGCTTACACTGTTTGTTCATAAAGCATTCAAGTTAGCGCTTATTTGGTCTCTCATCAGCAAATATATCTATTTTAAAAGGAAGATAATTAATTCCCCTCTTTTTGCATGTGATAGCAAGAAATAGTCATTTCATCTTTCTTTTATTTAACTCAATTTTCCGCAAGCATTTTAGAAAACACCATTGCTGATTTTAGGCACTAGAAACACTAAGCTCGGCTCTCTTTCAAGAGGCCCTTTAAGACAAATATGAAAGCAACTACAATTACATGTAGTGCTGTGTCAGAGATAAGCCAGCAAACAATTCTGAATGGCATCCACTCTAACTTTTTGGAGTTCATTATTAGCCATGGAATGAGATAACAAGAGACCAAGGATCAATTCCTGGAAAAAACAGAAGACACTGAAGGAAGCACTAATGGAAGACTGCAATCATTCAAACAGAAAATATAAAACATTCTAGACTAAAACATAAAGGACTGTAGAAAAGCCTGGTGCTTTTAAATTTTTAACTAAGTGGCTGAAACAGTTCAGGATGAGGCTGGAAAGGCAGTGGTGGCCATAGAACGAACACCCCTCTTTGGTCATTTACCTCCAAGGTCAGTTCGTCAGGGGCCCGAGCAGTGTACCTCTTGATGACATGGGCAGCACCAACAGCAGGAGTGTTGATGGATGATTCTTCATGCACTAGAAGGTGATTTCCCCTGTTATCAATCTGTAAGGAAGAGCATATGCTGTGAGATCATTAGAAACATGAGGTGTTGCACATGTTTCTTGGGATGCTTACAAAATACAATTCGATTTAAAGAGACAGTACCCTAATGGTCTGGAGGAAAAATATAACTTCCCTTTATTGGGTAGTTAATGCATGTGGTGTAAACTACATATGAGCTAATGTAATCCTAACTACTATAAAAGACTCTAAGCTTTATCAGCACTGAACGGTAAAGGTACTAAAGTTGAAAGAAGTTTTGCAATTTTGGGGAGATTTTCTAAGATCGCACAGCAAATAATGAAAAAGTCAAGATCCCAGTGTAAGCTAGCCTGGCTCACAGTTCTGTGTCCTATCTACTTCCCTTCTTGCCTTCCCAATTTCCACTGGGAGAAAAGAATAACCTAACTTCTGCATGTGCAAATTAACAATATATACCAATGCTTCATTCTACACATTCTTAAATTATATCCTTTAAAAAAATGTCACTTTTTCATAAATAACTGAAAAACATTTTTAATTATTAACTGGAAAAAATATAACTTGTTCAAATTAATTATGAACACCAAGACAATAGGTATCATTAAGATTACTAAAATGTGTTAAAATTACTTTCTCAAATTATTAAAGAAAGATATAAGGTATCATATATTACACATCTATCCTCCCAAAAGATGAGAATAAACTCTGATTTTTTGATTCCTGAAACTCAACAGAATGCCTTAAGAGAACAATTCTGAGTTCAGTCTCTGTGAAAGGTGAATGAATACCTCCATCCACGTAAGCGCAGGCCCACAGTTGATCTTGTTGCCAGCAATGGCTGAAAGGCGGGACAGGTAAGCCATGAGCATCTTAGTGACGGACTGCAGAAAAGGCGCAGGATATAATGTGACTCACAGGAAAGGTAACAACGGTTGTTTCTGGGGAGAGGGAGCTACAGATCTTCAGGCATCTAACAACTCCAGAGTACCTTCTACAGAAGCTGACCACTGAAACTAAGGGCACTGACACAATGACTCAGCCCGTCTGCTAGGGGCATAAACCGTGAATCCCTGTTTTATAACTTGTAACTGTACTGCTTTCTCTGTCTTTGTACTGAAAATGCAAAAAGATGACCGTCACAGACCCACATCTGGCTCTCCCACCTAGCTCTCCACCGTGGTCCTGCAGCCTCTTTCTCCAGTCCCTCTGTAATCCCCTGTACATGTGGCTGGGCAGCAGTGGCTATGTTTGTGTGATCCCACAAGACAGGCACAACTCATTGCCTCTGAAATGTGGCAATCTGAGAGGAAGGGAGCAAAATGGGCACAAATGGGAATGAAGACAGGGACACTGAGCTTTTCTGTGATGAGTGGGCAGGGTGGCTAGAAGCCTTCCCGTGCTTCTGCTGCGAGTCAGCTCCTGCATGGTCCGTGATGGCTCTCGGCAGCCATCACTCAGCTGCCCCAGAACTTCAAAGTCCTTTAGCCCTAACATGTGAAACACACCCGGCACTATCTTCCAGTCCATTGTGGTTTGGAGCACCATAACACCTAATTCTTATTCTTTTGAGAAAATCTGCACTTGTTCTCCGCATGGATTTAGGAATTTGCTCTGTGTTTTAACATGATGCAATTTCATAACGTGACATAATAGCAACTACTGGCCCTCTGAATCTGAAAGCACTGATTTCTGCAGCTCCAGTGAGCTCTTTAATTATGTCCTCCCATTTACTCTCTGCTCCTACAATCCCTCTGCCCAGGACCCCTCTGGATCTCGCCTTCATAATTCCCACCTGTTCTCTCACAACTTCTTAGCAATTCATCTCTTTCAGGAGCCACATTCCTATAAATGACTTGACCTCCCAGCCTGCTCTCTCTTTATGAGTGTCCATTTTTTATGTAGTCCAGTTATCCAGATTTGCTATTGTAATTAATTTACATGATCTCTGATTATTTTATTTTTCTAATCTCTGCTCTCACTTCATAGATGATACAGTCAAAATTCCTTGAAGGACAGTAACTAGACTTTCCAGAACTTTCTTCTGTACATCTTTCTCAATTATTTTGTGTACTCAGTGTTTGTAATCACCTTATATATGCATTTTAAGCCATATTTTCTCTTCCTCATAAATCTTACTCTGTCCACTTTCAAAAATTCTTCGTAATTTTTGATTCTCTGACATTACTTTTGTTCATGGTACTATATTTTGGCTTTTGTATTTTTATACTCTAAAGAATGGTCTGCTAATACATATTATCTGTTGCTTTATTGCCGCTATGAAGGGCTTTCCTCCCTATAAAATTAACTTACTTATTAGTGCTAAACATTATATTAATGTTTCTGTTAAGAATAGATAAGTACTTCCAAAACTGATCCTGAGTGTTCAACCTAAGCTTTCATTTAGCATACACACAAAAATTTCTGCTAAATTATATGTAGCAACTATATGGGCAGAGTACCACATGCATACCTCTGGACTGTCCTTCAGGGCGTCAGAACGGGGCAGCTCTGAGAGCTGGGAGAACCGTCGGTCATAAATACATAGATGAAGGTGTTTATCAAGTACCCGGAAATCTTCGTAACTTCTTTTAACAATCCAACTTTTGCCCTATGGGTAAGGGTAAAAAAAACTATAATTCAGCTTCACCTGCAAATGTTTAGGAATCAGGCCTTATTCTAGAATGGCATTTATTCACGACATTTAATATTTCTCAATGAGAAAATTTATTCACTGCATTATAGATAATTAAATTTCAAAATGCTTTAGTGAGTTATAGTAAATGGAAAGGTCAATAATGGAAAATAATACTCTCCATTAATCCTCTTCCTCCTGATGATCAAAGTCCCACTGCCTCTCTTTGAAAGCAATAACCCCTAGATGTTAAGCTACAATGTAACTTTAAATCTATAAAAACTAGAAAAATTACTTGGCAGGAAGCTATTTCCAAAAATTAAACAAAGTAAAATGTTTATTGATTTAGTTATCACCAACGTAGTCTATGACGGAGACTAGAAGTACACTCAAAACTACCAATCTACATATTTCTGAATATTCATTAATATCCAAAACATAGAAGGAATTCAAGCAACTTAATAGCAACCTTATTTATTTTATTAAAAAAAGGTAAATCAGAATTTTGTAACAAAATAATAGAAAACAACAATAGTTAACACATTTCATACTGTCATCTTCAAAATAGTTACTCAGAGTACAAGATATGGGCATCAAAATTTCTCTAATCCACATCAGCACGAACCTTGCTTTTCAATGAACTAGAGATACTAATAGTATACCTAGTTTGCATTTTTCTCCTTTCTCTTATTCCTTCTTTTCCCCTTTACTCCCTCCTGTTTCTTTTTTCCATTTAAACAATTACTTCCCATTTCACAATTATCTATTATACATTCTAGACTTTATTTACTCTTTCAATTTCTCACACAGGGAGACAATACGATGTTTACAGGTGTGAGTCTGTTTATTTCACTTATGAGTATGTGAAAGTTACATCGATATCCATCCATATTCAAGTTACATCCATACCCATTTACCTATAAAAATCTACAGTTTATCTTTCTTGATGGCTGAGTACTATTCCACTGTATAAAAATATTGTACTTTTTATCCATTCCTCAGTTGACGAGTCTTTGGACTGTTTCTAAGATTTAGCTGTTAGAAATTGTGCTGCTATAAACATGGGTGCACATATATCACTGTGGTATGATGTTTTTAATTTTTCTGGGAAGATAACCAGAAACAGCTGGGGTGAATCTGAGGAATCTGCATACTGATTTTCAGAGTTGTTGCACCAGTCAACACTCCCACCAACACAGCCCTGCCAGCATTTGTTATTGGTTGATTTCCTGATAACAGTCATTCTTTCTGGAATGAGATGCAATCTCAGTGTCGTTTTAATTTTCATTTCTCAAATGATCAACAACAAACATTTTTTCATGTATTCATTTGCCATTTGTATTTATTTACCTGAGAAAGGAGTCTGTATCTCAGATGCCTATTTTTTGATTCAGTCTTTGAATTTAGGGAAAGGGTTAGTTTTTTTAATTTTTTGTATGTTATAGATATACATATACACATACATATACATCTCTTATATACATATACATCTCTTTGAGAGATAACTGACTAAAAATTTTTCCCACTCTGCAGATTGTCTTTTCACTCTGTTGGTGAATTGTTTTGATATGCAAAAGCTTTTTAATAAGATAAGATTTCAGATGGTGGTTCTTTAAAGTATTTTCTGTGCAGTCTGGGTTTTGTTCATGAACTCTCTGCCTACACCTATGTCTTCAAGATTTCTATCTACTTTTTCTTCCAGTAGATATATTGTTTCTGTTCTAATATTTAGATCTTCAATTTAGTTTGACTATAGTTTAATGTGGGGTGACAGACATGGTTCTATCAGAATATGGAAAGCCAGTTTTTCCAGCACCACTTATTAAAGAAGCTGTCTCTTCCAGTAAACTTGTTTGCCCTCTTTGTCAAACACAAGGTGGCTGAGTGTGTTTGTAGTAGTGTTGGCATCTTCTCATCTGTTCTACTGATCCTTAGGTCTGTTTTCCTCCAGTACTATGCTGATTAATAACCTGATTTAACAATGGGTATATGAAGTGATCGGCATCACTAGGTAGCAAGCCAGGATATATAAATCAAAGTACAGTAAGATACTACAAAGTACAGTAAGATCATTCCAATTAGAATGGCTATTATAAAAAAGACAAGCTCTGGAGAAGATACAGAGAAAAAGAATCTTGCATTTTATTGGTAGAAATACAAATTTTGGAAAACTATGAAAGTTTCTAAAAAATCTGAAATGAGAGTTAACATATGACCCAGCAATCTGTCACATTGCTGGATAAATATATTAAGTCCTTGGCATCAATATATTAAAGAAACATCTGTACTCCCATGTTCACTGCAGTATTATAAGAGCCAAGTTATGAGGACAACCTAACCGCCCATTAGTAAATAAGTAAGTACAGAAAATGTACTGCATACATGGACTATTATTCAACTTTAAAAGAGAAATTCTGTTATTTGCATCAAGGGTGAATCTGGAGAACATTTTGCTAAGAGAAATGAGTCAAGCATAAAGGACAAAAGCTCCACAATAGTCTCAAATGCATGTGCACTTAAAACAATCAAACTCATAAAGGGAGTAGAACAATGGTCACCAGGGGCTAGGAGGGAGCAGTGTGTCAGAGATAACAGGGAGAGGCTGGTGAAGTACAAAGTTGTAGTTAGGAAGAATTAAGTGGTAAGTATTTAAGGTGAAAAACAAAACTCAGAATGGAGGCAAGAAAAAAGGGTTGGTCATGTTTTTTTGAAGGTTTTTCTATATAGACATTTAATACAATGTAAGTATTAAAATATGTCATTTGTGCTTAATATTTGTTTGTCCAAACCAAATTTTGGTTCTTTTTAGTTTGTTCTTATCAAACACCACATGAACACAAGGAGCACGACAGATTTAACTCTGCTGGGCTCAGTTACACCCCAGAAATGATCCTGTCTGTCCTTGTAGGATTTCAGGTTTCTGGTCTGGTATATAAGGAGCTTAGAAATCACCATTCTTCTATCCTAGCAAATAAAAAGTTGAACAAAGTGACAATCAACACATCTTAGATGCATCACAGAAGTGTGATCACAGGGCAAACTGCTATTCCCCAAATAGAGGCAGACAGGTTAGTATAAAGAGTCACAACTTAAATAGAACAGAAATTCACAAGCTCAAATTTCTATAGGAACTACTGTCAACATACAAACTGTAACAGCTAAATTTCCAGAGTGAAAAATCCACGGAACCCAACCTTAGGGAGACCTACACACTGTCCTCTATCTGTAAATTTTTCCTTAAGAATTCTTGACAGGCACATCAGAGAAACTCCCTTCCCCCACACACAAACCCAGCTTCTAGCACTGGAGGGGAGAGGAATCTTTAAAGTTATCTTCTAGTCAGCAAGGCCTGCCCTCAGGAGAAACTGTTTCCATACACAACAATGGAGTTTACCTTGAGGCTAAATACTTGGAGAAAGGGAAAACCTCAACTAACTCTGTCTCTTTCAAGCCCTCCACCTGGGGATAGGGCAGTAGTGACCTAAAGCCTACTTTAGTCACCCTGCTCTGCTGCTGGGAGGAGAATTGACCAGGGCAGAGGAACTCCAGAGTCCTCCCCACCCCTACACCTCACCACTGCATTACTGAAGGTCTAGCTACAGCATCTCCTGCCACATAGCACCAGAGTCAAACAGAGTAGGAAGGTTGTAATTATCAGACCATAAATTTAAAAGAATTGTGATTAATATGCTAAGCACTTTAATGGGAAAAGCAGACAATATATAAAAACAGATGGACAATCTAAGAAGAGCATGGAAAATTCTAACAGAATTAAAATGTAATGCTAGGCATCATAAACACTGAAACAGAAATGAAGAATATCTTTGACAGGCTCAGGAGTAGAGTAGTGGAGGAAAGAATCTCTTAAGTTTGAGAATACTACAACAGAAACTTCCAAAACTGAAAAACCAAAGGGACAGGAACAGGGGGGACACTATAAAGAAGCATCCAGAGATAGTGAAGAAACCACAAAAAGTGTAACATTAATGCAATGTGGAAAAAACTTGACAGAGAAGAAACAGGAAAATGAGAAAAAGCAGTATTTGAAGCAATAATGACTAAGAATTTCAACGAGTGCCAGACACAAACCACAGAGGCTGGGAGCTCAGAGAACACAAAGCAGAGTAAATGCCAACAACACTAAAAGAAAAAGTACACCTAGGCGGATCATATTCTAACTAGACAATTCAAAGTAAAGGAAAAGTTTTGAAAGAAGCCAAAGACGGAAACCACCTTATCCATAACGGAGAAAAGAGAAGAAAAACATCCAACTTGAAAATCATGGAAGAAGAAAGTGGTATAAATTACTTAAAAGTGCTAAGACAGAAAACTACCAACCTAGAATCCTGTACTCTGTAAAAGCATCCTTTTAAGGTGAAAATGAAACAAAGTTATTAAATAAAATGTGAGGAAATTTGTAGCCAGCAAGTCTGCCTTGCAAGAAATGCTAAGAAAAGATCATTGGAGAAGAAAAAAATTATATACATAAGAAAGTTATGACGGGGCTGGGGATTTAGCTCAATGTTCAGTAGTGCCTGCCTTGCAAACTGAGGTCATGAGTTGGATCTCTGGTACCAAAAAAAAAAGGAAAGTCATGTTATATAAAGAAAGATACTATGAAAGCACTAAGTGACAGCAAAATAAAACTTCAGCTTTACTTATTCTCAATTTATCTAACAGGTAACAATTTGTTCAGAATAACAACATATTCAATGATTTATGCTCCTGCATATGTGTATGTAGAATATACATGTGAGTATGTGTAGGCATGCTGATGTTTTGTGTAAGTAAAATGCACAAAGCCTATGATTCAAGAGATGGGATAGAGAAATTGAGATATTTTTAAATAATGAAGTCCTCCACAACCTGTGAAGTAGTACAATTTATCTGAAAGTGAAAATGAATTAGTTGTAAATGTGTCCTGCAAACTCCAGGGCAGTGACAAGGAAACTTTCAGAGCTTTCAGGGGTGATGAA